TGGATGTCCAGCTCAGTGTTGTGGTTTCCCGCCATCTTCCATCTCCATGGGTTGAATGTCCCGGTCATGGCCATCCCTGTATATATTGATGAGACGATGTCAGCCTGTCATTGGTCCCAGTGATGTGTCAATGTGAGAGTCTCCTCTCTCTCTCTCTCGTCCCTTTTCTGTACTGGAACCTTTCACCTTTTCTAGACTGGGACGTTTCAGAGGCTTCCGCTGGCTCCTCTGCCACCTCCTCAGAGCCGTGTGTCTGTCCTGCGCAAGTATCTGACGGCTCACTCAACCAACTGCCCCTGAGTGGTGGCCTTACACCCCATCTTCCTCCTTCCTGTGGGGTAGAGACTGAACGGAACTATACGGGACATCCCCTCCTCCTCCTCCTCCTCCTCATCCTCTTCCGTGCCTGGGCAGGTGCCGCTGAGTGCTGGAGACCCTCCGCCCTGCAGCCTGCACGGAGCCACCACCACCACCACCACCACCACCACCACCTCCTCCTCCTCCTTCTCCCATAGCCTTGGAAAAGACATGGAGACTTGGATGTGGGGGATCCACGTGGGAACCCCCACCCCCCACCCCATCTTCTTGACATGCTGCTGTTTCTTCTTCCTGTCTGAATGTAATCCTTGTGCTGTGTATCTCCATGGAGGCACTTTGTGGAGCCAGCGTTTCTTGCGGATTGTACTTTTCCTGCACCTGCCGCCTGTACATAGAGAGATCGCAGACTCACCGGCCATCTATAATGCTGTTTTGTACTAGATTTCTTCTCTTCATTCTTGAATTCTGTTCTGGTGACAGTCTGTATTCAATAAACCGATTGGAATGGATCTGTCTGTCTGTCCCCTTCATGCATGTGACATTCCATGCCTGTCTCCGAGCAGGATTCCCGCTGCCGCACAGGATAGGGGGGCAAAACGCAGGGTCAGTGTGGGTGAGGTGGCGGTGCGTGGCCTGCACCGCCGCCTGTGTGTGCGCTGTCCTCCTCTCTATCCCCCCCGTGTGTGCGCCGTCCTCCTCCCTATCCCCTGTGTGTGCGCCGTCCTCCTCTCTATCCCCCCTGTGTGTGCGCCGTCCTCCTCTCTATCCCCCCGTGTGTGCGCCGTCCTCCTCCCTATCCCCTGTGTGTGCGCCGTCCTCCTCTCTATCCCCTGTGTGTGCGCCGTCCTCCTCCCTATCCCCCCGTGTGTGCGCGCCGTCCTCCCTATCCCCCCCGTGTGTGCGCCGTCCTCCTCCCTATCCCCTGTGTGTGCGCCGCGTCCTCCTCCCTATCCCCCCGTGTGTGCGCCGTCCTCCTCCCTATCCCCTGTGTGTGCGCCGCCTCCTCCCTATCCCCCCGTGTGTGCGCCGTCCTCCTCCCTATCCCCTGTGTGTGCGCCGTCCTCCTCCCTATCCCCTGTGTGTGCGCCGTCCTCCTCCCTATCCCCCCGTGCGTGCGCCGTCCTCCTCCCTATCCCCCCGTGCGTGTGCCGTCGTCCTCCCTATCCCCCCGTGCGTGTGCCGTCCTTCCTCTCCCCCCGTGCGTGTGCCGTCCTTCCTCTCCCCCCACGCGTGTGCCGTCCTTCCTCTCCCCCCCGTGCGTGTGCCGTCCTCCTCTCTATCCCCTGTGTGTGCGCCGTCCTCCTCCCTATCCCCTGTGTGTGCGCCGTCCTCCTCTCTATCCCCTGTGTGTGCGCCGTCCTCCTCCCTATCCCCTGTGTGTGCGCCGTCCTCCTCCCTATCCCCTGTGTGTGCGCCGTCGTCCTCCCTATCCCCCCGTGCGTGTGCCGTCCTCCCTCCCCCCGTGCGTGTGCCGTCCTTCCCCCCCCCCGTGCGTGTGCCGTCCTTCCTCTCCCCCCGTGCGTGTGCCGTCCTTCCTCTCTCCCCCCCGTGCGTGTGCCGTCCTTCCTCTCTCCCCCCGTGCGTGTGCCGTCCTTCCTCTCTCCCCCCGTGCGTGTGCCGTCCTTCCTCTCTCCCCCGTGCGTGTGCCGTCCTTCCCCTCTCCCCCCCGTGCGTGTGCCGTCCTTCCCCTCTCCCCCCCCCGTGCGTGTGCCGTCCTTCCCCTCTCTCCCCCCCGCGTGTGCCGTCCTTCCCCTCTCCCCCCGTGCGTGTGCCGTCCTTCCCTCTCCCCCCGTGCGTGTGCCGTCCTTCCCCTCTCCCCCCGTGCGTGTGCCGTCCTTCCTCTCTCCCCCCGTGCGTGTGCCGTCCTTCCTCTCCCCCAGTGCGTGTGCCGTCCTTCCTCTCCCCCAGTGCGTGTGCCGTCCTTCCTCTCCCCCAGTGCGTGTGCCGTCCTTCCTCTCTCCCCCAGTGCGTGTGCCGTCCTTCCTCTCCCCCCAGTGCGTGTGCCGTCCTTCCTCTCCCCCCCGTGCGTGTGCCGTCCTTCCTCTCCACCCGTGCGTTGTGCCGTCCTTCCTCTCCCCCCGTGCGTTTGCCGTCCTTCCTCTCCCCCCGTGCGTTTGCCGTCCTTCCTCTCCCCCCGTGCGTTTGCCGTCCTTCCTCTCCCCCCGTGCGTTTGCCGTCCTTCCTCTCCCCCCCCCCGTGCGTTTGCCGTCCTTCCTCTCCCCCCGTGCGTTTGCCGTCCTTCCTCTCCCCCCGTGCGTTTGCCGTCCTTCCTCTCCCCCCCGTGCGTGTGCCGTCCTTCCTCTCCCCCCCCGTGCGTGTGCCGTCCTTCCTCTCCCCCCCGTGCGTGTGCCGTCCCCCCCCCCCGTGCGTGTGCCGTCCTTCCTCTCCCCCCCCCGTGCTTGTTCCGTCCTTCCTCTCCCCCAGTGCGTGTGCCGTCCTTCCTCTCCCCGTGCGTGTGCCGTCCTTCCTCTCCCCCCCCGTGCTTGTTCCGTCCTTCCTCTCCCCCGGTGCTGTGTGCCGTCCTTCCTCTCCTCCGGTTCGTGTTCCGTCCTTCCTCTCCTCCGGTTCGTGTGCCGTCCTTCCTCTCCTCCGGTTCGTGTGCCGTCCTTCCTCTCCCCGATGTGTGTGCCGTCCTTCCTCTCCCCCCGTGCCTGTGCCGTCCTCCTTCCTCTCCCCCCCGCCTGTGCCGTCCTCCTTCCTCTCCCCCCGTGCCTGTGCCGTCCTCCTTCCTCTCCCCCCGTGCCTGTGCCGTCCTCCTTCCTCTCCCCCCCTGCCTGTGCCGTCCTCCTTCCTCTCCCCCCGTGCCTGTGCCGTCCTCCTTCCTCTCCCCCCGTGCCTGTGCCGTCCTCCTTCCTCTCCCCCCGTGCCTGTGCCGTCCTTCTCTTCTCCTCCCCGTGGTGTGCGGCATGTGTCCCCTCGATCCCTCCCCGTGGTGTGTGGCGTGCATCCCCCCCCGATCCCTCCCCGTGGCGTGCGTCCCCCCGATCCCTCCGTGCGGTGTGCATCCCCCCCGATCCCGCCCCGTGGTGTATGTCGTACGTCCCCCGATCCCTCCCCGTGGCGTGCGTCCCCCCGATCCCTCCGTGCGGTGTGCATCCCCCCCGATCCCGCCCCGTGGTGTATGCCGTACGTCCCCCGATCCCTCCCCGTGGTGTGCATCCCTCCGATCCCTCGCCGTGGTGTGTGGCGTGCGTCCCCCCCCCGATCCCTCCCCATGGTGTTTGGCGTACATCCCCCCGATCCCTCCCCGTGGTGTGCGTCCCCCCGATCCCTCCCCATGGTGTGTGGCGTACATCCCCCCGATCCCTCCCCGTGGTGTGCATCCCTCCGCATCCCTCCCCGATCCGTCTCCCCCCCCGTGGTGTGTGGCGTGCATCCCCCCGATCCCTCCCCGTGGTGTGCGTCCCCCCGATCCCTCCCCGTGGTGTGCGTCCCCCCGATCCCTCCCCGTGGTGTGCGTCCCCCCGATCCCTCCCGTGACGTACGCCCCCCCCTCCCCGATCCCTCCCGTGATGTACGTCCCCCCGATCCCTCCCGTGACGTACCTCCCCCCCGATCCCTCCCGTCACGTACGTCCCCCCGATCCCTCCCGTCACGTACATCCCCCCGATCCCTCCCCGTGGTGTGCGTCCCCCCGATCCCTCCCGTGACGTACGCCCCCCCGATCCCTCCCGTGACGTACGCGCCCCCCCGATCCCTCCCGTGACGTACGTCCCCCCGATCCCTCCCGTGACGTACCTCCCCCCCGATCCCTCCCGTCACGTACGTCCCCCCGATCCCTCCCGTCACGTGCGTCCCCCCGATCCCTCCCGTCAAGTACGTCCCCCCCCGATCCCTCCCGTCAAGTACGTCCCCCGATCCCTCCCCGTGGCGTGTGGCGTGGGTGTGTGCGCACAGCTCCCTCCTGTACCATTGTAATGTGTGGCTGTATCTTGTTCTCTTCCAGTCTCGGAGGGGCGCAGAGGTGGACAGAGAGAAGAGAGCCCCGGATTGTAAATCTGAGAGTGTTGGCAGTGGAAGAGCCATTCCTATCAAACAGGTGGGGTTCCCCCTGAGCGGAGCGTGTGTGCGTGTGTTTGGGGGGGAGGGGAGTAGAGAGGGCAGGTAGCTCCTTGTAACGTCACGGCGTCAGCCGGAATCCCGCCTGTGTCACCGCACACTCGATGCTCTGTGTCCGTGGGCCGTCGTGTCGCTTCCTACATCTGCTTTACCTGTGTGTGAATACTGCTCATGGTCTCTGTGGGGGAGGGGCATGGGATGGGGGGAGGGGCGGGATTATGAAGGGGGGAGGTTCTGCCACACCTTTCATTGCCTGTTGTGATCTCCATCTCCGAACCCCATGATGAGTATTGTCTGTAACAACCAACCAGATTCTTCTTTACAGAAAGAAGGCGGGATCATTGTCAGAGGTCAGTACAGCTTACGCCCAGAGCTGAACGTGGCTTCTCCACAACTCGGGGTACACGGTCATATCTGGCGTCCACAACTCGGGGTACACGGTCATATCCGGCAACCCCCACATGGCAGCAATGAACCGAAACGTCATATCATCCCAATATATTCCATCACTTCCTCTCCTGGTGACACCAGACTCCACCCTCCTCACATTTCCTGCCTTGGTGACACACTATGAGAGTCTGGGCGTGAACGTGGTCCTCAGGACAGGAAGTGACACCAGACTCCACCCTCCTCACATTTCCTGCCTTGGTGACACGCTATGAGAGTCTGGGCGTGAACGTGGTCCTCAGGACAGGAAGTGACACCAGACTCCACCCTCATATTTCCTGCCATGGTGACACGCTATGAGAGTCTGGGTGTGAACGTGGTCCTCAGGACAGGAAGTGACACCAGGCTCCACCCTCATATTTCCTGCCATGGTGACACGCTATGAGAGTCTGGGTGTGAACATGGTCCTCAGGACAGGAAGTGACACCAGGCTCCACCCTCATATTTCCTGCCATGGTGACACGCTATGAGAGTCTGGGCGTGAACATGGTCCTCAGGACAGGAAGTGACACCAGACTCCACCCTCATATTTCCTGCCTTGGTGACACGCTATGAGAGTCTGGGCGTGAACGTGGTCCTCGGGACAGGAAGTGACACCAGACTCCACCCTCATATTTGCTGCCTTGGTGACACGCTATGAGAGTCTGGGTGTGACCGTGGTCCTCCGGACAGGAAGTGACACCAGACTCCACCCTCATATTTGCTGCCTTGGTGACACGCTATGAGAGTCTGGGCGTGAACATGGTCTTCAGGACAGGAAGTGACACCAGACTCCACCCTCATATTTCCTGCCTTGGTGACACGCTATGAGAGTCTGGGTGTGACGTGGTCCTCGGGGACAGGAAGTGACACCAGACTCCACCCTCATATTTGCTGCCTTGGTGACACGCTGTGAGAGTCTGGTGTGACCGTGGTCCTCAGGACAGGAAGTGACACCAGACGCCACCCTCATATTTCCTGCCTTGGTGACACGCTATGAGAGTCTGGGTGTGACCGTGGTCCTCAGGACAGGAAGTGACACCAGACTCCACCCTCATATTTCCTGCCTTGGTGACACACTGAGAGTCTGTGTGTGAACATGGTTCTCAGGACAGGAAGTGACACCAGACTCCACCCTCATATTTCCTGCCTTGGTGACACGCTATGAGAGTCTGGGTGTGACCGTGGTCCTCAGGACAGGAAGTGACACCAGACGCCACCCTCATATTTCCTGCCTTGGTGACACGCTATGAGAGTCTGGGTGTGACCGTGGTCCTCAGGACAGGAAGTGACACCAGACTCCACCCTCATATTTCCTGCCTTGGTGACACGCTATGAGAGTCTGGGCGTGAACGTGGTCCTCAGGACAGGAAGTGACACCAGACTCCACCCTCATATTTGCTGCCTTGGTGACACGCTATGAGAGTCTGGGTGTGACCGTGGTCCTCCGGACAGGAAGTGACACCAGACTCCACCCTCATATTTGCTGCCTTGGTGACACGCTATGAGAGTCTGGGTGTGACCGTGGTCCTCCGGACAGGAAGTGACACCAGACTCCACCCTCATATTTGCTGCCTTGGTGACACGCTATGAGAGTCTGGGTGTGACCGTGGTCCTTGGGACAGGAAGTGACACCAGACTCCACCCTCATATTTCCTGCCTTGGTGACACGCTGAGAGTCTGGGTGTGACCGTGGTCCTCAGGACAGGAAGTGACACCAGACTCCACCCTCATATTTCCTGCCTTGGTGACACGCTGTGAGAGTCTGGTGTGACCGTGGTCCTCAGGACAGGAAGTGACACCAGACTCCACCCTCATATTTCCTGCCTTGGTGACACGCTATGAGAGTCTGGGTGTGACCGTGGTCCTCGGGACAGGAAGTGAGGAGCACTGTTGGGGCATTCCTACAGGTGCCCGGACAGTGCTTCTAGACCTTCCCCGCAGCGGCCCGTGTGTGGAGTCCCCGCAGCGGCCCGTGTGATGTCACCATCATGTATGGACCCCACTAGCAGCGTTCCCCGTCAAGTCACATGACTAAGACCTCGGAGAGGCGGCCATGTTGTTTGTGCTGAGAATGAGCCGCACCATCCGCAGTCAGAGGACCACAAGTAAAAGGTAAGGTGGGGGAGGAGTTCCCAGCCAGGCGGCCAATCCCAGCTTCAGACCCGCAGTGTACCTTATTGATGGACAGGTCTGTGCTACCCAGCATTAGCCAATCAGATTCTTCTGGTCCTTCTCCCAAGCTGAGAATCAATTGGTTGTTCTGGAACACGTTTCCGCTCTCCCATTGGGCCAATGTTTCTGGAAGGTTCCGTAGTTGGGAATTCTTGGGAGCCGGTTTCTGGCACAGCCGCCATCCAAACACAGGCCACAGGAGTCTGACCTGCCCCCTGCCACCCTCTGAGCCTCCCCATTGGTCCATGAGGCCATCCATCACATGAAGGGACCAATAGGAAGAATCAAAGGCTGGACAGAGCCAAGCTCCACCCTTCCAATGACAGTCGGTGTTCATGGAGGAGGTCCGCCCTGCGAGTGGTTGTATCTCACCGAGCATTGAGCTCCCCAGACTGCCGCCCACTGAATGGCTGAGGGTCCTACCAGTCCAGAGAGACCACATGACTGCCACGTGACACCAATGACATCACTGCCTATCAGATGACATCACTGCCTATCAGATAAGGGGTGTGGCTAGATTTTCTATGTATGAGTGAGAAAATAGTTCAGATATCCAGCATCTCCCCTCCCCCGACTGTATACAATGTACACACAGTGCAGGAAATGCGTATTTGCCCCCCTGATGGTGAATGTTCGCCCCTCACACAGAAACGATCGGTCTAACAATGGAATGTTCTCCCCTCACACAGAAACGATCGGTCTAACAATGGAATGTTCGCCCCTCACACAGAAACGATCGGTCTAACAATGGAATGTTCGCCCCTCACACAGAAACGATCGGTCTAACAATGGAATGTTGGCCCCTCACACAAATGATCGGTCTAACAATGGAATGTTCGCCCCTCACACAGAAACGATCGGTCTAACAATGGAATGTTCTCCCCTCACACAAAAAACGATCGGTCTAACAATGGAATGTTCGCCCCTCACACAGAAACGATCGGTCTAACAATGGAATGTTCTCCCCTCACACAGAAATGATCGGTCTAAACAATGGAATGGTCGCCCCTCACACAGAAATGATCGGTCTAACAATGGAATGTTCGCCCCTCACACAGAAACGATCGGTCTAACAATGGAATGTTCGCCCCTCACACAGAAACGATCGGTCTAACAATGGAATGTTCGACCCTCACACAGAAACGATCGGTCTAACAATGGAATGTTCGCCCCTCACACAGAAATGATCGGTCTAACAATGGAATGTTCGCCCCTCACACAGAAATGATCGGTCTAACAATGGAATGTTCGCCCCTCACACAGAAACGATCGGTCTAACAATGGAATGTTCGCCCCTCACACAGAAATGATCGGTCTAACAATGGAATGTTCGGTGTAACACTGAGAGACAGAATACAACAACAAATTCAGCAGAAATGCGTCTAACAAATGATGACGGATCTGCATGTTCATGAGGGAAAGAAGGATTTGATCCCCTTCACAAAACATGACTTAGTACTTGGTGGCCAATCCCTTGTTGGCAATCACAGAGGTCAGACGTTTCCTGGAGTTGGCCCCCAGGTTCTGCTTTGGGGGTGTTTTTTTCTGCTAAGGGGACAGGACAACTGCACCGCATCAAAGGGACGATGGACGGGGCAATGTACCATCAAATCTTGGGTGAGAACCTTCTTCCCTCAGCCAGGGCATTGAATGGGTGGTGGATGGGTGTTCCAGCATGACAATGACCCAAAACACACGGCCAAGGCAACAAAGGAGCGGCTCAAGAAGAAGCACATTAAGGTCCTGGAGTGGCCTAGTCAGTCTCCACACCCTTCATCCGATGGAAAATCTGTGGAGGAGCTGAAAGTTCGAGTTGCCAAACGTCAGCCACCAAACCTTAATGACTTGGAGAGGATCTGCCAAGAGGAGTGGGCCAAAATCCCTCCTGAGATGTGTGCGAACCTGGGGGCCAACTCCAGGAAACGTCTGACCTCTGTGATGGCCAACAAGGGATTGGCCACCAAGTACTAAGTCATGTTTTGTGAAGGGGATCAAATCCTTCTTTCCCTCATGAACATGCAGATCCGTCATCATTTGTTAGACGCATTTCTGCTGAATTTGTTGTTGTATTCTGTCTCTCAGTGTTACACCGAACATTCCATTGTTAGACCGATCGTTTCTGTGTGAGGGGCGAACATTCCATTGTTAGACCGATCGTTTCTGTGTGAGGGGCGAACATTCCATTGTTAGACCGATCGTTTCTGTGTGAGGGGCGAACATTCCATTGTTAGACCGATCATTTCTGTGTGAGGGGCGAACATTCCATTGTTAGACCAATCATTTCTGTGTGAGGGGCGAACATTCCATTGTTAGACCGATCATTTCTGTGTGAGTTGCGAACATTCCATTGTTAGACCGATCATTTCTGTGTGAGGGGCG